TATCTATCTATCTATCTATCTATCTATCTATCTATCTATATTTCTTTCTAACTAATCTATCTTTCTAACTAATCTATCCATCTTTCTTTCTTTCTTTCTTTCTTTCTTTCTTTCTTTCTAATCTATCTTTAAAACTTCATTCAAACTTCAAAACTTCAAACGCTCTGGTCCGGCTTTCTCAAGCCAACTTAAAGTTTGTCATCAAACTTTTTTTTCTAGTTTCACTTATATAACTATTAATAGGTAATTATCATTGCCATTTAAGTGAAATCACTGAACTTAAATATACAAGTTTGATCAAAATCATCATTAAAGAAGGAAATTTCAAATGGCATTTAGAGGCTTTTGCATCTGAGCTCTTCATATACAAAATAATTCTATAGAGCACACACAAATATATTATGTAAATACAGACTTTTATTTTGGATGCGATTAATCGCAATTAATTTTTGCACAGCCCTAAAAATACATAACGTAAATATCATCTAAAACATCAAACTTAGAAAATCTAGCTTAAAAATGACTTGAATTGATTCGGAAATGTATGCATCCTCTTGTCAAACTCAATCGGGAATGCACAAGGCATTCTCAATTCAATTCTGAAAGTCCAATATTCATAAACTTTAACACTTTGAGCCTTTGTCAAGTTTATTATGATCAAGCTCACATGTCTAGTTTTAAAAAAAGAGACCATATCACGTCAATTCTGCATCTTGTTTGCAACCTAAAGTCATATAGAATTTAAAAGGCCTTCTCAATTCAACCCTGAATGTCCAGAGTAAAACCATTCTCCCTCAGAAGCTGGATTATCTGGCTTTTCCAATTATGCACAAAGTACCCAGCCAAAAAAAAAAGGAGCTAATGCTGTATTCTGCTTGGCACAGCAGTATTGAAGGCGGTTTGGGCACGGACTGCGTCTTTTGAAGTGCTCTGATTCTGTAATGCGAGTGGACTCCATGCCGATGAAGACTTGTTCGCTGCTCAGATTTAAGCAGATCTTTAATTCCGTCTCTTAAAAGAGCAGAGCCGCAGGTGGAATGCTAACGTGGCGTCTAAGATGAAGGTAAAGGCCCCCTGCGAGAGAGATTCCCAGAAGCCCTTGAGGCCCACAGGCAGAGGGGAAGAAGAAACAGCCCGTAAGCCAACACAAAGCCGGGGGTTTTACTTCCAGGAACGCTCTTCTCCTACCTCACATTTCCATATGGACATCCTCAGTAATAAATCGGGATAATGAGCCCCTGCGCTTCTGCACTCATTAGCGGCTCCCAGACGCCAGCGCTTTAGCCCGCGACGCTAACCTGACGCCCCACTCATTTAGCTTCGACTCTCCGTTAGCCAAGCAGCTAATTAGCTTGCACCGCTCTCTCTTGGCAAAGGAAAGCTTCGGCCCTGCTCACCACAGGCTAAATCTCCATTAGCCACGAAGGCTAATCAACGCCGCCAAGCTTTGTTAGCGTGGCGGCGAGTCATTAGCGAGGCTCACTGCATAGTCCGCGGCGGGCAGATGGTGCTTATTATGTCTCAACTTGTTAGAACCTTGAAGAAAGTGTGCTCCCACAGTGTATGATTCAGAAAAAATATATATGTTTTTATCGAACATTGAAGGATCAACGCATTTTGTATCATAAAAGTGTTTTGTTTTGTTCAAAAATCATTTTTGGTATGTTTTATCTTACCTCAAGGGAATCCAAGATGTAGGTGTCTTTGTTTCCGCAGTAGTTTCATTTTTTATATTTTTAGGTCAAACCGTTCTCTGTCAGTCATATAATGGAGGTCTATGGTCACCACCTCAAAGAGCATGCACAGAGAAGTCCAAATTAAACATGATTTAATGACTCGTAAATGTAAGTACACATTGATGGCCTAAGACACGAAACGAGCGGTTTGTGTGAGTAAACGAACAGTATTTATATTAACACAGCCACAAAGCGCCCGCGCCCTCAGATCACTTGGACGTGACTGTAGTTACAAGAGGTAAAAACGATATAAATACTGTTGGTTTTCTCACACAAACCGCTCGTTTCATGTCTTAGGCCATCAATGTGTACTTATATTTACGAGTCATTAAATCATGTTTAATTTGGACTTCTCTGTGCATGCTCTTTGAGGTGGTGACCATAGACCTCCATTATATGACTGACAGACAACAACGGTTTGACCTAAAAATATCAAAATTGAAACTAGTGTGGAAACAAAGACACCTACATCTTGGATGCCCTTGAGGTAAGATAAAACATACCAAAAATTAATTTCAAAGTGAACTACTGTATCCCTTTAAGTTAATAATATCTGTTTATTTTGATTAAAAAAGTTAATCAAAAAATGTTGTTGAATAAAAATTTAATTTATTATGGCGTTGGAGTAGTGACAATAAATATATATGTCATTATAGTATATGATTAATATCATATTTTCTAAATACGATGGATTTATTATAAATATGGTGATTATAAATAAGGTGAGTGAGTTTATGCTTAAAACAAGGGAAAATATATATCAGTGAGTCAGAAAATAAACTTAATTCAAAAGGGAAAACATTGTTATTTTTCTGGTCGATATTTGTTTCTTGTTTTAGGCATAAAGTCACTTAATTATTGACGTTTAATATTCTGAAAAGTGTATCAGAATAAAGTGAGTTTGCCAACAGGGTCAGAATTTTTTTTTTTTTTTTCTATAAAAAGACAAAAAAAATGACAGATACTTTTTTATGGTTTTAAGCAAAAACTCACTTTCAATCTGACAAAAATGAACTTAATATCTTAAGGAATTTGTTTTACCAAGTAAATGTTTTCCATTCCAATTAAAAAATTATAAAATCAAGATACAAAACAATAATACTAGGTAAGAAAACCTTTTTCTTTTTGCAGTGTATCATTGTACCGGCAGTGTATAGCACAATGCCACTTTATCCATTGGGTAGAATATGCGTCACATGACCAAAATCATCGTTTCATCATCATCATTAACCTTAGTTTTTACAGTCAGTGTGTCTTTAAAAAACTCATTTCGCAGGACAAATGAAAGGTTCAGACGGTTTCCTGATGCCAGCTTGGTTAAAAGTAATTAAACAAACGTCCCTAGTCGTCCATATTGTCAGTCTCCGGATCACCTATACACAGCGACCGCAAGCTAATTACTGAGCGGATTTGGCGCACACAGACCTGGCAGCCTCTGAGAACAATAATCCAGCTATCACAGAGCATGATGGGGGAAACAGACCATGTTGTACGTAATTTATCCGGCTACACGGCGGTCTGTGCTGTAATTAACATCATCTTTTCCACAGAGCCACTGGCCGACACCGGCCCAAACAAATGAGCGCTGTTTAAAGCAGCTTTTCTGGCCAGCCGGCTGCTGACGGGTCATTAGGATGATTGAGATGACTTTTAGCAAATAAGAAGGAATCGGCTCGCACAGTGTCTGTGCATTTAGTAAGCCTGTAATCATCTGATTTGCCCCGCCGGTCAGAACGGTGGATGCAACTCGGATATTCAGAGAGTGGGAAATATCTTGCAACAGTTCTTTTCTAATACAAACGTATTCACACTCTTACATCAAAATACATGTATTTGAGAAGCAAAACGGCTTACCGTAAGATTCTACGTTTATTTTATTTTATCTCACGTCCAATTCGTAGGATATGTCTAAACTCCAGTAATGGGTAGGTTTAGGGGGCGGGGGCAGGGGTACGAATTCATACGAAGATTTAGCAAAAACACGTATGAATTTGTACGAATTATCCGCCTCGTAAAATCCGAGGCGTTTGAGAAGTGTATTAGAATGAGTAAATGCTTAAAACAAGAACAAATGTCTACCAAATTGAAAAACAAAATTGTTGACTGATATTTTTTTTTCTTGTTTTAAGCATGAAATCACTTCATGTGTTTTTCAATGTTTAGATATTGGTAACGGAAAACAAGGCAAAATTACTAATATTTCAGCTTCTCTAAATTATTTAAGCAAAATCGCCTGAGATATTTGCAATACATCCAATTATTAATCTCGTTTAAACTGTTTGCAAATAAATGTACCGGTATATCTTTTTAAATTTTTTATTTGGTGAAACAATTTTTATTCCGAAAATTTAATACATTAAATTAAACGAAAAATTTTCAAATCAAATTAAATTTTTAAAAGTAAAAAAAAAAAAAAACAGTCTTAAAGAAAAACAAATGCTTTCTGTCGAGATTGTGTAGTTTTTCAGAAGATGCGTAACAGCGCCCCCTAGTTTATAGCACTGAAAATATAGATTGCCGGAAAATTCCGTCAATGGCGGGGAAATAGTTAAATAGTAAATAGTGTCCATTTTGATGTTGACTAACCACTAAGGGCCTGTTTACGCAAAACCATTTTCAACTAAAAAGTAAAACATTTTATGCGTTTTGGTCACTCGTTTACAAGACAACGGCGTGCCTGAAAATTCAAAATTTTGAAAACGGGTTTCAAAGTGCACGTTTTTAATACAGTCTCCGTGCAAAAAAACGAATCTCTGAAGACAATGATGTCATGCACATGCGTATTACGTGTTCTATAGTGTTACATCGCCATCTAATGGCCTGGCAGCAGAATGCAACGTTTTAGTCGTTTTTCGCGGATCGTTTTGACAATCTTGTGTTCTAAGCGGAAAATCCGTTTTAAGCAAATCCGTTGTGGTGTAAACGCACCGTAAGTGACCACCCCATTTAGACTACAGAACCGATAACAATAAAGAAAACTCTATTAGTGTCCACATCAACACAGAATATCTCAATAACGCAATAAAAGTGCGCGTCTGTCCCTTTAAATGCTTAAACGATTTCCGATTGTCTGCCAATGTTTTATCGTTCATCAGCTTGAAAAAATAACCACTCTCTAACGATATCATTCCTCTGTGTCGTTATTGTTTGCAGGGCTTTTTAAAATGACGTCTTCATCGTTATTGTTACATATATCGTCCTCGGCTAACGATCCAGTGCACTTCTCTAACAGACAGAGTGCGAAGGGCCGAAACGTCGACTCACCCCAAACATTTGCCGTAAGTCTGGGTCCCGGAAGCGGAAGGGGATGTTGGAGACGTGTAACCGCTTGGGCTGCTGTTTTTCCGTGGAGTCCGAATGTTGAACCTGCTGGGAAACTTCCGTTTGCGTCACGTCTTCCGTCTGTCCGAGGGAAACAAAGACAAAAGAGCCGTCCGTTCATTAATGCGCATAGCCACAGGTTAGGCTCACAGTGAAGAAACAAACAAACAAATGAAGGATAGTAAGTTAGCCTACTTATCCGCGGCTATCATTTTTCACTCAAGCGGCACGCGGATAAACAGACGTTGAGTTATGGTGGCCTACCTGAGGTCATGCATCTACGATACGATTATTAATCTCCACCTGTTACTGTCTGAGGAGCCCAAACAAACAAGATATACTGACAAATATCTGCTGCACACACTCACACTCAGGCCATTGGCTTGTTGTTTCCATCATTATGTTGATGATCCGCCACAAATGAAACTTCAGACGCGCGTGACAGATGTTTTCTCTCTCCGCTAGCTCAGTCGAGCAGAACGACACACACACACACATTTTCATGTGCTCCCTTACAGCAGCATGTCATCAGAATGTCATCATTGAGGTAAAAAATGTTCAGATTCATTCAAACACACAACAGCAGCAACATCAACAAATCTCCCCAGAGCATCATGGGCTTCATCAAAACATCAACACAGAGAACCAACATTATTGCATCAGCTCGTAACACACACACATGCAGTCAGTCTGAAAAGTCATTTGGTGAATCCGACAAAAACATAAAAGTATCCTGATAAATTACTAGATATATTGCAAGCGCAATTGCTTACACTCTTAAAAATAAAGGCTCTTTATTGGCATTGATTTTTCCATGAAGAACCTTAAACATCAATTGAGTCTTTCTTTTCATTCCAAAAAACGTTCTTTAAAGTGGAAAACCTTCAGATTCACTAAGAAAAAAAAGGTTAGGCTAAGAACTCTTTGCTAAAAATAGAATCTTTTAAGATTCTAGAAAGATTCCAAAAATGGTTCTCTATGACATCACTGTGAAAACCCCCTTCTGGAGGTGTGTGTTGCTTTAAGAGAGGAACTGAGCCTGAAAAATTGAAAAATTCTTCTGCTGCAGGTCTCAAATGTCACTTGCTGCATAAATTAAAAGTAAAACCATTAAAAAAACTTTTGTTTCTTGAAATATAAAGAATATAAATATTAGAATAGGCTATATATTATAAAAAAATATATATTTTTCTCTAATACATTCCTCATTCCTCACTAAACTTGATGTACTAAAATAAAATAAAATAAAATAATACTATAGACAAAAAAAACTAACTAAAATTAAATTTGAAAATATAAAGGTATAAACTAATTAAAACCTTTAATAAAAAAATAAAATGTAACAAATTGATTTTAAATATCACTGGTTATTGGTTTAGTTTATTGTAGAAATAATGCTGGGTCATGTTTACAAGACAAAAGCAAGAAAAGAACATTAAACCTTATTTTAGGACCATTGCATCGACAGAAAAAAGCCAATAAACCCAATTTCAATCATGAAAACTAAAAACTTTCTAAACTTGTTCCTGCTAATACACACAGCGACGCTGCCGTGAACATGTAAGATATGCAAACACTGAACCAGACTATTTAAATGTTGAGCAAGCAATCTCATTGGCTGCAGGATCAGCACAGGCCAATCAGCTTGTGCCGTGCGGTAATGATGTGACCAATCAGCCTGCGCCCTCTAGAGTTTCAGGACTGAACTATATATTTCCACTGCAAATTCCCATTACTGTAATAGTTGGGGGACTTAAGCACATAAATAGGTAATTTCATGATGAGAGATCCGGTGATTATTATGATAATTCATTTTTAATTATACATTTTTAATAATTCATTCGTTTTTTTCCCCTTACAGGCAGCCATATTTGATTTGGCCACCATCTTGGTCTCAGGGACCATTGGCTTGGGCGCCCTGGCTAAATCATTTCAGTATGCATCTACATCTGTGCCAAATTTGGTGAATTTGTGCAAACAATGGGATGTAAGGCCCCATTCTACAGCCCAAACTGCTTTTTTGGACAGCGGCCATTTTGGAATTGGAGGATCAAGGGGTCCAGATATACTGGGTCATAAATATTAACATTTCTATGTGTTTCCCGTGATCAATTAAGCTGAAAAACATTTCAAGTTTGTATTTGTAACTCATGTGGTTCAAAAGTTATAGCCGGAACCCTTTTTGGGCGGCGGCCATATTGGATTTGGCCGCCATCTTGACCCCAAGGGTCGCTGGCTCCGGCGCCCTAGCTAAATCATTTCAGTATGACCTGAGCTACATCTGTGCCAAATTTGGCGCTTTTAGATGAATTTGCGCGAAAATGTGCTTAAGGCCCCCAACTATAATCCATATGTTTGTTTACAGTTCTCAGTGATAATTCTCATTATATTTCCATTGCTGTAATAGAGTCATTTTTTCCAGTAATGCCATAAAAATGACTGTTATATATGATTTTTAATGGCATATAACAAATAATATAATTACATATAAGCTTTAATCTAATTTACATAATATGTTTTGCATTATGGAAATGATAATTGGGGGAATGTGCTTAATGATCATGTAAATAATGTCCCAATC